CTCTTGCTCAGGCTGGTCTTGATCTCCTGAGCTCAAACAATCCGCCCGCCTCAGCTTTCCAGAGTGCTAGGATTACAGCTGTGAGCCACCGCCCCCAGCCCAGGTATGTTTTTGTTATACTAACTTATCTTTCTAAACCTGTAAACCACATTTATTTATAACTAAGTTAATAGGCCCCAGTACTGCTTTTTTTTTCCTTTAAAAATGACAACTTTTACCTTCTTTTGTCTGCAAAACAAAGATACAAACATCAATTGGGCGTAAATTTTAATTAACTGTTATTTAATGTGAACACTTCTGTCACTAATTTTCAGGATAAAGTATTGATTTTCTGTGTACACTTTATTACAGACAAAATTGCAACAAATAAAAAAAGAAAAACCTAAATATTCAATTCTCCAGTGTCAGATGCTAACCCAACTCTGAGCTATGTGCTCCAACGTATAAAAAGGCATTGATTCAGTTATGCTTGCAGCAGGAGGGAGAAAACTTTGAATCTGTTACTTTGCTTATCTCTTATGCTTGACTATGTAAGTCAGAGATAATTAAAAATATAGGAAATCAAACTTTCGTGGAGGACTCTAATATTCCAAGAACTCGATGCACAAATTCTGCCTGTTCCATTTAATCTCAATGTTGAAATCAGAATTAGAATCATTAATTATGTTCACGTCAGGGAAAGATATTTAACATCAAAGTCTTCGCGTTGCCAATACTTATTGTAAAGAAAGCGGGGCTAAACAGAAGTATAATTAAGTACCATGAGTCTGAATGACATTGGTGGAATTGGGAAGTTGAGGTCTCATAGGAATTTTCAAAATAGAGATTTTTGAGAGCAAAACCAACTTTGGAATCAAGAAAGAAACTTTTTGAAAGATCACTCAAGCTATGTGATAATTCTGACCCCAAAGCTCCTAACAGGATCTTCATTAAACAGTGAGTCCGCATATATTGAGGTCTTTCTGCTATTACTAGAGATTTAACTATTATATCTTTGGATAGAATCCAAACATAGCATTCCACTATGCAGCAGCTCCCCAAACTGTAAGGGATTCCTGTCAGATACTAGACAATAAAGACTACCTATCCGCTTATAATGTAAGCCTTTTTTTTTTTAATCGACTTCTGAAACCAGTACTGGCTGGAACTCTAGAGGGCTGGAGGTTTATTATGGCTTTGTGACCTAGGGCAAGTCACTTCACTTCTCTTACTCTTGGTTTCCTACTGGGGGGAGGATGTCGGTTGAACTGTATGACCCCAATACACCACTAAGCTCAGTTTTAAAATCAGATACGTATTTCCCAGTGGCATGGTAGCTCCAACCATTCACACTGGATTCCGGTAACAGAAATTCTCCAGTATTAATATGTTTACTGTGTACAGCAAGTGTTGACAAACTTTTTCCGTAAAAAGCCAGGTTGTAAATATTTTCAGTTTTGAGGTCATGCAGTCTCTGTGTCACAGCTATTCAATTCTGCCATTGTAGAGTAAAAGGAGCTATGGACAATGCAAAAATTAATTATTTTCCAATAAACTTTATTTTAAAAAAGAGGTAGTGGGCCAGATTTGACCCCTAGACTAGGTAGACCTTGCTGGCCCCTGGTGTATAACATAGCAACTATGAATATAGATTTGGGATAAGAAACCTCCCCAATTCTATCCCTGGACCTACCCAAATGGCTCAGAAGTATTTAATAAATAACTCCCTTCCGGTTTATTCAGAGTTTCTTTTCTTTTTCTTTTTTATTCTTTTCCTTGCAAAAACCCTCGGCTCACCTGAGGGCGGGTGGAAATTTATTGATTTTTATTTTGTCCTTTTCCATCTTTTCCCCAAATGGCTTTTCCTTGCAAAATGCCTGACATGACACCAGAGAGGAACCTGGGAGCAGAGGACACCCCAAGGGGCAGCCCAGGGACTTAAATACAAGCTGGAGGGCAGGGCATGGGTGCGACAGGCAAGAAACAGCAGAAGGGACATGGGTTCTTAAGTAGAGACCAAAGGTTTGTTTTTCTGCAGGAAGCAGCTGTGCCAGAGGGCAGGGGTCTAGGATCCTGGGTGGGAAGGGGGTGTGATCAGAGGTCCCCCAACCCTGGGTTGAACCCACATTCCCCGGAGAAGTAGCGGCAGGGAATGAGGATCTGCCCTACTAGGCTCCGAGGGCTGGAAAGGGAGAATAGCCAGATGAGCTGCCTCAGGGAGGGAGGAGGTGCTGGCAGAGTGAGGGTTAAGGCTGGTGTCTGGCCTCTGGCTCAGTGGGCTTTCCGCCTCTGCCTGCTGTGGGGAAAAGGGGCATGGCGGGCAGGCAGTGCATGGGCCTGTTCTGGCAGGGCAGGAGGCGGCAGGAGCAGGCTCCCTCTGGGTTCAAAACACAGGCCCAGCCAGGCTGTCCACCCACCTGCCCTCGATGTGCTCAGACCCCACCGCAGCTGGACTGCTGGAGCTGGGAGTGTGGGAGGGCTGGGAGGGGAGGCAGTGGGGAGAGGGAAGGGTGGGCTGCTGAGCCCCTGTAGCCCCCACACCTGTCCTGAGGTCCAGCCCAGGGCCCTGGATCTCAGGTTCTGGATGCCCTGGCCACACTCCTGGCCTGGGTACTGACTGCGGCCAGGGGCAGCAGAAGCCAGGGAGGCCGTCAGCTTTAGGGAAGGAGGGAGAGAAGGAAGAAGGGGAAGGAGAGAAACCCAGTGCAGCATACATGGGGGCAGGAGGGAGACAAACACAGGGGCCCTCATTCCAAAGAAAAGTGTGTGGTGGGGCATCTTTTAAAGTAACCTAGAGGCAGCAGCAGAGCAAGCCCCACCCTAGTCACAGTTCCTCGCCGTCCTCCCTGGGAGGCCCTGACATAACATAACTGGGGCTCAGGGCAGCAGGCAGATGGGCCAGAGGGAGTTGGGGAGCCCGGGACACTCCAAAGCCACAGACTCAAATGCCCCAGGAGAGAGAGAGGGAGGCAGCTCCTGTCCTGGGGACATCATCTGGAGAAGGTGCCCCATCCTGTCCCACTCCACATGCCCCTCCTAGCAACAGCCACCGCCAGCTGGCTTGACAGGGGTGCTGTCAATCTTGAGGTTGGGCCGTTCACCCCCTGAGGCTGCCCCGGGCCCCATCCGCTTTTTGATCTCAGCAGCCATAGTCATGAACGCCTGCTCGACGTTGGTGGCATTCTTGGCACTTGTCTCCAGGAAGGGGATGCCCAGAGAGTCTGCGAACTCCCTGGCCGTGGTGTCGTCCACCACCTTCTTGGTGGCGAGGTCCCTCTTGTTGCCCACCAGGAGCTTGCTGACGTTCTTGCTGGCATGGCGGTTGATGCCCTGCAGCCACTGCTTCACGTTGGCGTAGGAGTCCCGGTCGGTGACGTCATACACCACGATGATGCCGTGGGCCCCCTGGTAGTAGCTGGAAGTGATGGTCCGGAACCGCTCCTGACCAGCGGTGTCCCAGATCTGAAGTTTGATGGTTTTGCCGTCTAGCTCAACGGTCCGGATCTTGAAGTCCACCCCGATGGTGCTGATGTAGCTGTCGGTGTATGTGTCATCAGCGAACCGCAGGAGCAGGCACGACTTGCCCACGCCTGAGTCTCCAATCAAAAGCAGCTTGAACAGGTAGTCGTATTCGGGGTCCATGGCGGCGGCGGCCGCCGGGTCGCTCCGGGTTGGTTCTGCTCCGCCTCCCGTTCCAAGGAGGTGGCCGCTCCGCCCGGAGGCCCCGCCCGCCAGCTTCGTCGTTACTGCTGTAGAGCTCTGACTTCTTTCCGTACAAGAACCACCGTGTTGCTCCTACAGCTTCGACTCCCCAGAATTTATTTAGAACACACTTCATAGCAAAAATGCAATATTTTCTGGGCTTTCATATGAGATTCTCTTTTCCAGAAAATAAAGTTGTATCAATCTGAAAAGACCTTCTGGACCCTCAAAAATAATCCGTTCTCCCTTTCTCCAATTATCTAACCACTTCTATTTCCACTCACTTAGCCAATTTAACTCATAGAATAAACCTCTCAGAGAGGACAGCTAGTTACCCACATAAACTGCCTGTGCCTCTTAAAGGGCCTGTGTCAATACCCTGGAAATGACAGCACTGCAGAAAACACAACAAAACTGTTGCCAAATTCTTAAGAAAGACAGGAAAAAAAGCAAATTCCGAAAAAGATGAGTCCATTGTCCCACTGTATTAGCACTCAACTGCAAGCAAAGTGCTAATAACTTTTTTGTGGTTTCCCATGCTAATGAAATGTCGATTTTTTTTTTTTTTTAGACAGAATTTCACTCTGTTGCCCTGGCTAGAGTGAGTGCCGTG